TTAAGGAGTGAGGATGAATTCTGTAATGTGCTGGAAGTTGGAGGAGATATATGTTGATTTGCCTGATGATGGTGAAGGGACCAATAAATCTGGGACTGAGTTTCTTGCAGGGCAGACGCATCCTGATGTCCCGGATTGACAGCCAGACCTTCTGACCTGGCTGGTAGGAGGGAGTTTCAGCACATCTGAGGTCGGCTGTCATCCTGCGCCTGCGTACTGCCTGTTCAAGCTGGTGGTGAGCTGCGTCCCAGACCCTCACACTCTCTCAGAACCAGTAGTCGACCACTGGGACGTTGGCTGGTTCCCCTGACCATGGGAACAACGGTGGCTGGTAACCGAGTACGCACTGGAAGGGAATGAGCCCAGTAGACGGTTGATGGAGGGAGTTCTGGGCGTATTTGGCCCAGCCTAGGAACTAGTTCTAGGAGTTCTGGTGGCCCTGGCAGAAGGTTCGTAGGAAACGGACAATTTCCTGGATCTTCCTCTTGGTCTGCCCGTTCGACTGCGGATGGTACCTGCGGCTTACGGTCACACTTAGGAGGGAGAAGAACGCTTTCCATACCCTTGATATAAACTGCGGTCCGCGGTCTGAAACAATGTCTTCTGGGATCCCATAGTATCTGAAGACGTGATTGAAGAAGAGTTCTGCTGTTTCCATTGCTGTGGGAAGTCCTTTGAGGGTGAGACGATGACAGGATTTGGAGAATCTATCAATTATTACCAAGATGCATGAATTTTCCGTCAGATGGTTGTCCTTCTCTTAGAAGTCCACTCCTAGGTGTGACCATGGTCAGTTGGGAACGGGCAGCGGAAGAAGTTTGCCAGATTGTAACAGATTGGACAGCCCGGCGGAGCGGCGTTGGAGGCATTGGAGAAGGTGATTGAGTCTGAAGACCACCGGATGGAGCTCACGATTAACTCGTGTTGCAGGATGGGCTCAGGTTCTTCACTGACCTCTTCTGGAGCATACAGATGAGAAAGAGCCTCAGCCTTCACATTCTTTGAACCTGTATGATAGGAAATAATTAATAATTCCTTACATTTATGTAGCGCTTTTCTGGGTATTCAAAGCGCTTTACATGGAAGGGGGAATCTCCTCAACCACCACCATGGAAATGGAGAAATTAAATTATATAAAAAATAAGGCCCAACGGGCCTGGCGGGGATTAAGTCTCTTGGCTTCTTTTAAGTACTGAAGGTTTTTATGGTCAGTTATGACTGTGAAGGGGTGTTGTGCACCCTCAAATCAATGCCTCCACTCCTCTAGAGCGAGTTTGATGGCGAGGAGTTCTCGGTTGCCAACATTGTAATTACTCTCTGCCGGGCTGAGTTTCTTAGAGTAGAAGGCACATGGATGGAGTTTGGGTGGGGTCCCCTGCTGCTGGGATAACACCGCTCCTACCCCGTTGGTGGAGGCATCCACCTTCACGATTAACGGTTTCTTGGGGTCTGGGTGGATGAGGAGCGGTGCGCTGGTGAATGTCAGGAGACTTGTAAGGGGGCTGGTTATTGAGCTGTAGCCATGGATGAACCGTCTCTAAAAGTTGGCGTAGCCAAGGTAACGCTGCAGTTCTTTGATGGTAGATGGTGTGGGCCAGTTCCGGATGATTTCAATCTTCCATCTGGATACCTGTGTCGCTGATGTTATAACCAAGGAACTGCACTGAGGGTTGGTGGAAGGAGCACTTCTCAGCCTTGAGGAACAGATGGAATTCCCTCAGGCATTTCAGGACCTCTGCAATGTGGTGGCGATGGTCGGCCATGCTCCGGGAGTAAATAAGGATATCATCTATGTAGACGAGGACTGACCGGTGGCACCTCATGCATGAAGTCCTGGAATACAGAGGGGGCATTTACCAGACCATATGGCATGACCAGATGCTCATAATTTCCAGTATGGGTTACAATGGCGGTCTTCCACTCGTCCTCCTCACGTATCCAGATGAGGTTGTAGGCGCTGCGGAGGTCCAACTTGGTAAACATCATGGCTCCACGGAGGTGTTCAAGCGCCGCTGGGACAAGGGGAAGTGGATATCGGAATTTGACGGTGATTTTATTAAGAGTGCTGTAATCCATACAAGTCCACTAGCCTCCGTCCTTGTCCACGAAGAAGAAACTCGAAGCAGCAGGGGACGTAGAAAGGCGGATGTAGCCTTGTTGGAGGGCCTCTTCTATATACTCCTCCATGGCCTTCTGTTCGGGAAGTGACAGGGGATAGATCTTCCCGTGGGGCACTGGCTCACCCGGAATCAGGTCGAAGGCGCAGTCCCATGGCAGCTGAGAGGCTCTCTGTGGGTAGAAAACATCACTGAAGGGGAGACTTGGTATAAACTATAGATATAGTGGTATAGCAGGTTGGGATGTCGAGCGACTGCTTCTCGACAGAACTTTCGATGGAGTTGGAGTTCAACAGTGGAACAGGGTGAGGAATCGGAAGGAAGCAGTCGGGGAAACACTTCCTGCCCCACTTCAGGACTTTGCCGGTCTTCCATGAGATGATGGGATCATGCCACGGGCCCCCTAAGATCACCTCAGCGGTGGAATTCTCCAGAACCAGGAGATGGAGGGATTCTACATGGAGTCGACCAACCTGTAGCTTGATGGGATCGCCGCTATTTCGAACATGTTTACGGTAAGGTGGTCGTCCAGCCACCGACTTGACCTGGTAGATAGTCTGAGTAGCGGTCGTCTTGAGGTTGAGTTGGTGGCAGAAGCTTCCGGAGATGAAATCCCCGACTGAGCCAGAAACGAGGAGGGCATGAACTGGGAGAGATACATTTGGAGCAGTAAGGTAGTGAGATTTTAAATTCGTGATTGGATTCTTCAATACACTCACCATTGGACATGGAGGACGGATGGGGCATGCGGAGATGATATGCCCCCCAGCACCACAATACAGGCAAAGCCCCTGATTCAGCCGCGTCTGCCGCTCCGTAAACGGTAGTCATGTAGAGTCAACTTGCAAAGGTTCAATGCCTGGTTCTGGAGTTCTGAGGTGCTCTGGCTGGCGGAGGAAGATAGATGGCATTTGACCCTGGTGCTCTTCAAGACAAGACTGCATATGAAATGTTGAATGCCGATGGCATTGTATGCAGCGAGATGCAGCCGCACTCAGCTATCCAATCCCTGCCGATAGGTGGTGAGGAGCTAGCACTCATTCCAGCCGCTGGCGGCCACGAGGGTTCTAAACTTGAAAGCATAATCATTTATTGACATATTCCCTTGACGGATATGATAAAGTTGCTCACCTACTGATGGATCTCCAAAGGGTTTGCCGATAACTTCACGAAAGTGTGTGACAAAATCATTCAGAGACTGGGTTATAGCACTGGATTGGTTTTGGCCCATTGCTGCATCTCCAGGGTCAACGAACATTGCAGGAGAAATCCATTGTGGTGACGGCTGGTGTGATCGGATCAGTGTCGCCCTGGAGCAGTTCCGGGGAGCTCATGATGTTGTCTGTCGGTATTGGTCCGGTCTACTGTTACGGAATCAGACTCAAGAGAAGGAGATGGAAGTTAACAAGGAGTTTATTTAGACAACAACAGAGCGGGAGAACTGATGGCAGGTAAGTGCAATGATGATTTGGAGAAGAGGATGCTGGCAGTGAATAGTATGTTTCTTCTTACAGGAGTGATGACGGGTAGATGATGCAGAGGATGGCTGGAACTCAGAACAACAGGAGACTTGAAAACACAGAGAAGAATGGAGACAAGACGCTGGAGTGGAGACTGGAGAAGGATCGCTGGAGATGTCAGGTAGATCGTTTGCTAAGGCAAAGTAAGTAGTCCTCATCATACAAACGAGACCGGACAATGAACTGTGGTGAAGAGTGGGATTAAATAGTGTCAGTGATGAGGGTGGGGATGAGATGCAGGTGTGTGTGATTAGAACTCTGGTGAGTGAGTGTGTTGTGATTGGCTGGTAAGAGAGCCTGGCAGATCTGTAACACCTACTCCATGTCCAACACATTTATAAGGGTTCAATCACCAATGGATATTGTGTTTGTACTGATTTTATTCTTCTTCTTCTGCTTCTTCTTTTTCTTCTCTTTTTTTCTGTGTATGGACGTCAGAGACCGTAAATCGTAGAGAACCCAAACTTGGCAGGATTGTCTCAAACGTGCAGATCTACTCAGACGCACAAACATCTGGTGCATTGAATCAATTTGCGTTTAGGAACCCTAAGCTCTAAAAACAAAATAATTTTTGGGTCAAGCCCTTTAAAATGTATATCTTTAATTTAATTTCCAACTATAAAATTGTTCTGCCATTTTGCATTTTCGCAAGAACCTTTTTCGAACTCACAAATATTGCACACAGCAGCTGTGACAGTGCTGGCAAAAAGTGATAAAACGAATTTGGATTTGTTGAAGTGTTATGAAGATGTATGTGAAGGCTTACACTTGTGTTATGAAGCCATTGCTTGTTTTTTTTTTTTCACAAACTGACCTAATCTCCTGAATGCAACATTGATGCACAAAGAGCACAGGATGTTCTGAGGAGCACACCAGCCATGTCAAAACTGTACGGGGCACTACAACTGAAATTAAAAGTAACATAACTGTATGTTTAGTAATCTATTAATCTTCTTGTGTGAAAACAAAAATGTGTAACAAATTATGTGAAAAATGGCCACATAGTGGCGATATAATAAGCATCTTTATGTTTTTGCTAATTACGCTGATCACTTTGAATGGAAATAAATACTGGTTCATTTGTAAATCTATGGTGCACTTACATTTTATTTTATATAATTAGTTTACAAAGAAATCAGTCAAGATGCCAGCCAAATATAGTGCTGTCCACTTATAATGAAGAGAACATTTTATGTATCTTTCAAGAAAAGATGGACTATGATTGTCTTTGTTGTACATTTTTAAAGATGTCATTAATGTAAAATGCTAAATTAAGTATTAATTTAGTATACAGTAGTGTATATAAATACACTGAAGATGTTGGTTTGATACATTGGTTTTATACTTGTTCATACTTCCGTAGGAGAGAAATGGCACAAACGTCAGCTCACCTATGGCATCATGAACTGTCCGCGGAGTCTCTCTCCCGGTCAGGTGCGTGTGGCGGTGAACGCAGCCTTCCAGCTCTGGAGTAACGTGTCCGGGCTGCTCTTCCAGGAGCTCCAGCAGGGTCCCACCGACATCACGCTCGCTTTCTTTGAAGGGGAACATAATGATGGGACAGGAAATGCATTTGATGGACCAGGTGAAGTTTTCTTTCTTTCTTTCTTTCTTTCTTTCTTTCTTTCTTTCTTTCTTTCTTTCTTTCTTTCTTTCTTTCTTTCTTTCTTTCTTTCTTTCTTTCTTTCTTCCTTCCTTCCTTCCTTCCTTCCTTCCTTCCTTCCTTTCTTTCTTTCTTTCTTTCTTTCTTTCATTCATTCATTCATTCTTTCTTTCTTCCGTTCTTTCTTCCGTTCTCTCTTTCTTTCTTGAAAAGCAGAAACAAGCGATAGAAGCATTGCTTACACACATGTAAAATAACACACTCATCAAACATTAAACACCATATTAATTGCCTTAAGTTACCAAATGAAATGTCAACCTAGTGTTGATGGACGTGATCTACTCCATATATGTTTTAATCAATGTTCAGAAATGCATCAGGAAGAATTTGAACAACAACTTTTTGCTCAATATGTTTCTTCTTTATGAAACTTACCCACATTCAAGTGTTGATAAATAAATAAAAAACAATCTTTAACACTTTATTCTTGTTAGCATGAGATTGGTGTGATAGAATCACTTACCAACCCTATTTTTCCAAAGTTATAAAAAAGACTTTAGATACACAAAGTGCACTCTACTATGAATGGGAGAAAGCAACACACAATATGGCTGAATAAGGCCCGCCTTCGAAATTAAATAGCCAATCGCAAATTAGTAAAGTCATCGCATCACTGCAGCTGTCGCCAGAAGCTCCGGTTGCTTACGACTGCACATGCACATTGGCTGCTCCAGCCTGGAAAATGCAGGGGATTTTTTCCGTCATGATTTCAGCGTTTAGAAACAACATTTATGAGACAGATTTCATTGGTGATTGATTTCAAATATGAAATGTAATCGTGAGCTTGGTGAACAGCTTTGGAGAAAGAGATAAGAGCTGTACTTGTATGACTAAAATAGCTGCCCGAGAGGCGTTTCAAAGATGGCCTGCGAGTGAAATGACTTGCCTTACAGGGACTTTGGTTTGGTCTTTCAACCAGAATTATTTCTTTATTTTTTTAGGTGGCACTCTGGCTCATGCATTTTTCCCATTCCGCGGTGAAGCTCATTTTGATATGTCTGAACGATGGACCCTGAGTGGTCTTAAAGGACACAACCTGTTCCTTGTGACGGCCCATGAAATTGGCCACACTCTGGGTTTGGTTCATTCACCAGTTCGCCATGCGCTCATGTCCCCGTACTATAAGAAGATGGGCTCTGCTGCACTGCTCAGCTGGGATGACATCGCTGCTATACAACAACTCTATGGTAAACAAGCCGCTCTTTTCTTGTTAGAAAGCTGTGCAAGTGTTTATTTTGCAATAGGGCTCTGGTCTTTAGTAACAATGACTTTACAGTGATAGCAAAGCTGGCTATTGTGAGGAAGTTTAAGAATCTGTCAGGGTTTTAGGCTTTTCTTTTAGAAAATATGTGCAACTTAGATGGTGTAAAATACCTCTATGTCTTCCTCTGAGAAGTTAAGTCACCTTTATTTTATATAGCGCTTTATACAATACAGCTTGTTTCAAAGCAACTCCATAAGCAGGAAAATCCATGATTAAACCATCAAATATGAGATAAAATCATTTTCTGCTGTAAAAAGACAATAGTGAAATTATTCAGTCATTTCATTGTTGATTCAGTTCAGTTAAAAAAATTGTGCAGTCAAATCAATAATATTACTGAATAATAAGTGTATTTTAACCTGCAACTAAGCAAGTCGAAGGCAAGGCAACCCATGCCTTCAATCCATGAAACCCAAACTCAATCAGAAATGGGCAACAGTATGAACAGCAACAGCAAATGATCTTAGAAAGTCTTAATCACATTTTTTGGCTACAGAAGACAGAATAATCATTTGAAAAATACCTTCACAGAAAAAAGAAACATTCAGTTCAGCATTTCTTAACACATCTCATCTCTACAACCTATAAAAAAACATTTTTAGGTGAACGGATCTCAAAAACAATTTATATGTTGCATGGATTCTATTTTAGGATCATATTCTAGGATTGTTTGTATTACAACATTATTTTCATGACAATTAATTAACACAAGCAAAATGCCATACTTTTTATTGTTAAGGGAAGAAATAACAATATTATTAAAATTGTTATATATACATCATGATAGTGTTTTAGTACTGAACTTTATTTGTTAATTTTAATTAAAAAAATATTGTTGTGTGATATTAATTACTGAAGATCATTACAGCAATGAGAAAAGGATTGTCCTTTTTTCTGTTGATTTTGGGAGCCTTCTTGAGATTTACCCAAAAACACATTTGTAAACGTACCAGTTCCTCATATCATGTAACACTGATATTTTCACACAAGCAGTCTTTACCTAGAGAGTCAATTTATACAGCTAATTTTGCTAGGCTGTAGTGAAACAGACAGAGCTATTTACACTGAAAGATAGTAAGACAAACACAACTATAGTTCCGTGCCGGTGAAACTGTCAGCTGTTTCTCAAGCATGTGTCAGGCAGGTTTACACACGCCACAGTGTTTTCAGGAGAAAACCTTCAACCATCCATCTTCAGTGCGTGAGAAGGGTCTCATACCAACACCACCCTCCCTCAGCGTCCTGATCATAACTGAAGAATCCATTCCAAGAGTTTGCCAGGATCTTGCTTTAAGCCTTCCAGGAAAAAATCAGATGCCAAATTAATGTACACACACACACACACACACACGCAGGTGCCAGCACTACACTATATTAATATATTCCTCAGTATATCCAACGCATTCTCATCCTTTGGCGTCATATAGGTGACGCCATATGACATTTCGTCGAAATCTTACGCACATGGCATCCTTTAGCGTCAATATAACACGCACTGTTATGGGTAGGTTTAGGTCTGGGGTAGGGTACGGTTATGACGCCTTGGGATCTGCGTCTCATATTCACGCTAAACGATGCCATGTGCGTCGGATTTAGACGAGCGTCACCTGTATGACGCCTTGGGTTCTGCGTCTCATATTGATGCTAAAGGATGCCATGTGCGTAAGATTTCAACGAAATGTCCAAAGCGTCACATGTATGACGCCAAAGGATGAGAACGGGCTGGTATATCATTCATCTTAAAGCAGTAGGAGGCCAACATGAGTCCATCACAAAACTCATTTTTTAAGATATCATCTGCTGCCTACAAAAATGTATGTGTCGGTGTCATATATGTGTGGGTCACCCACATGGGTGGGAAGTATTGTAGGATTGCATACCTCCACCACAATCACAGATTTTTTGCCATAGATATCAGATTTTTTTATTTTTTATTCCAGACAAGCTGAATTTCATGCATTCAATTTAATGCAATCTTTTGGTAACGCTTTATTTCGATGGTCCACTTTAGACATTCTACTTATAAGTAATAATACTATCTAGAGTTAGTTGAGATGTAGTTGCAAAGTTACTTAGTTAGTAGAATGTCTAATGTGGACCACCGAAATAAATTGTTACCAATTTTTTTATTAAATGAACATTTCATTTGAGTCCACTAACCAGAGACGTTCCCTTTCGAGAGTGGTCACTTCAGAATCCCGTCAGCTTGGCGCTGCGGGAACACTGAACCCTGGCGCCGACACCGGCCATAGACCTCATGATGCACTGACTATACTGCTTTGCCAACGCTATGTCCCTCTGCGCTTGCTCTACGCGACTGTTATCTAGCCATGCCTCAGCCCCTTGCATAGAGCTTGAGCCAGCTATGAATCCAGAGAACCATCGTCGCTGTAAGGCTGCCTTTTGTATTCAGAACGTAGTTGCCTTTGAGCAATTACTGTTCTGTTGTGCGGTGTGACAGCTGTAAGACAGGTTCACCATCAGAGAAATTCCCCCTTTTGCACCCGCATGTTCTGGCTGTGCAGGGGAAGATGGCTGAGTAGCCATTGGAGAGTCTGAAAGGCTTCGTGGCCACGCTCCTCTCCGGCGCGTGTTTTAACTAGGTCGTATAGACCGATGTGCAGTACCACTGCTTGCACTATTAGCTACTGAATATGTAGCTGATGCATTCATGACACAGCCTTCTGTTTTCCATTGTTTTCTAAGGGCGCTACGCCTGTAGCTATCGTAAGAGCTGGTTTAATGTCTATGCACCGCTACGCTGTTGCTTATTATTCCACGCTCTGCATTTCATCAGTCCAGCGTTGATCGACTGTGCGTAGTTGGGTCTGACCTTCTGCCAGCTTGATGTCTGGTGTTTCAACTAGGTCTGTTTTTTACCCGACCGAAATGAACGCTCATCAAAGGAACGAACTATGTGTACATTCATGAATGTAGAATATCCCCTCTACTTGAGTGGAGCGTGCGTTCTGGATGATCGACTGATCATAGTCCATTCAGAGAGTGTATTAATCCATCTCATCTTCTGCTTCCCAGAGAAGTAGAACTGGGCCTTGTTGTGATGCGAGCTTTTATTTCACAGGGGCGCTCACAGTTTGTCACTTTTACCTCCGCTCGTTTGAGCCGAGAAGTTACTCTTTTTAAGGGTCCTCAGGAAGCTCCCAGGCTGATGTTTTGCAATGCTCTTACTGACGAGACTATCAGCCCTCTTATGTTTGTTCTCACGTCCCCCGCTTATTGCGGGCGTCAGGAACAGTTAAAGCCTGTGTGTCAGGTTCATTCCACTGTGCAGTGCACTAAGTCAGAGATGTTTATTGACACATGCTTTCAAGTGGGAGCATTGGGACAGACTCTCACACAGAGTTGGCCAAGGGACTGGATTATATCAGTGTGCCTGAAATATATCTCTTTTTGGCCTCCTGATGGCTGATCGATTGCTCCTGTCTGCCTCGCTGCCTGCTGTGTGTTTGTTTGCTTGCTTCGAGGCTGTAAGCTCCGCCTGAGCCTCGTATTTCTTTATGTTTTGAGCCATCATTTACTATCTAGTTGTTTATACTACTAAATACAGCTTACCCAACATCTCAGATTAACCTTACATCTCTAGCTTCCGTTATTTTTAACACAGCACGCTAGTAACTCGCTAACGTTAGCCTGCTAACGCGCCACCCGTGCGCTCATTTATATATTTATTTTCTCTCGCGCGCCCGCGCCTTTGAGTTCATAAAGTCCAGGTAAGTAAGAAATCAGTTAACAAACACGGTGAGTAATGTCTTCTTGTCCTGTTATTGTCACCTGTGTCACATGTCATATGTTTAGTATAGCCTTCTCCGATGGCAATATAGGATTTATATGTGATAAATGCAAGGAGACAGTCAGGCTGACGGAGAAGATTTCAGAACTAGAGACACGCATCCAAACTTTAATTGAGGATGGTAAGAATGCTAGAGCTTTAGATAGTGTTTTGGATGCGCCTAGCATAGTGAACTCTTTAGATGATTCGGTTCCGGCTGAAGTAGAGCCCGTGCAGCAGGGCAGATGGGTTACCGTGAGAGATCACCGCTCTAGTCGCGGATCAAAGAACCACTCTTCCGTTCCGATTCCCATAACAAATCGATTTGCCCCACTCAGTGAAACACCCACTGAGAATTCTGTTGATTGTGCCCTGGTAATTGGTGATTCGATCACACGGAACGTGAAAATAGAGACACCAGCCACCATAGTCACATGTTTGCCGGGAGCCAGAGCGCCTGACATCAAAGCAAATTTAAAAGTGCTGGCTAATGCTAATCGTAAATTCTCTAAGATCATTATTCATGTCGGCACTAATGATGTTCGACTCCGCCAGTCGGAGATCACCAAAATTAATATTAAAGAGGTGTGTGAACTCGCAAGTACGATGTCAGGCACTGTAATTTGCTCTGGCCCCCTTCCTGTACGCAGGAGTGATGAGATAGTTAGCCGATTGGCCTCACTGAATGGTTGGCTGTCGAAGTGGTGTCCACTGAATAATATAAAATTCATAGACAATTGGAAAAGTTTTTGGGGCAAGCCTGATCTGTTGAAAAGAGATGGTATCCATCCCTCCTGGGCTGGTGCTGCTCTTCTCTCTAGTAATTTGGCTCATAGTCTTAGAGATAAAACATGACAATCTGGGGCTCAGGTCAGGAAGCAGACAGACTGGCTAAACCGACCGTCTGCTAGCGGCCTCACGTCACCAAGGTCAGATAAATCCCATCACATAGAGCCTCTTTCACCTAGATATCATCATATAGAGACTGTGTCTGTTCCCCGAATTTGGAAATCCAAAAAACGTCAGGTTAAAAATTTAATTGATGTTCAACAAATAAAAAACAGAATACAGATGAGCAAATGATAAAGCTTGGGTTGCTGAATATTCGATCCCTTACTTCAAAATCTCTCATA